AGATCGTCAGTGAGACCTCTCTCCGTTCTGTCATCCAGTAATGTATGTAAGTATGTGTGGGATTATTAAGGTGACCAGTCCCTAATACACTTCATACATCTAATATTCTCCCAAACAGATACTACACTAATAATTAGCATAACCTTGTCCAAGAAACACTTGATAAAATCGAAGAAAATTTTCTTAAAAAATTGGAAAGGAACACGCTTTAATTTTGGTTAAAAAGTCAAGTGTACTAGGTTAAAGTTTGAACGAGAATTTCATATCAACCCGAAAAGAGTGAGGTTAAATTGAATAAAAACATCAATAAAATAAATTAAAAGAAAGTAGTCCCACTAGCTAGGACATGAGTCAATGCCCATGTGTGGATTGTTCAAAGGCAAAGTTTTATTTATAGATTTTGAAACATAATCAATAACTAGAATTCATTCATCCAATTTTGCACATGAATTTACATGTGAACGAAATAAATTATCTTAAGATATTTTCCCTTCATATTTCTTTCATATCTGCTTGACTGGTGGATCCTTAATATATAACATTAACTAATCTTTAATGTTAACCAACACTAACTAGCCAGCAAAATGCCCGAGAAGCGGGATGCAAATCATGTGGCATTCTTCCTTATATTCCCAGAATTTAATTTGTTTATGCATGGGAATGTTGATATGTGTGAAATCTTTCGTATGACTTTATTTGATTTGTATTTTCATGTTTCCTCGAACCTCAAATAACTATGGTCTTTAATTAAATCTTTTTGGTCTCACAAATTTCACTATTTAGAAGTCTATCTCTTCTAGATACTCTCAAGAATGAGTAAAACATTAATGGATTAGGTAAAGGGAAAAGGTTTAACAATATGAAACGAAATAACTTTTTAATACATTGGTCAAAGAAGCAAGAGAAATTGAGTTAGGACTTAATGGGATTAATTGCATTTCTTGGCACGTGTAAAGGAATAAACCACAAAAGTCTTGATTTCGTTTGAGACAAGGTAGAAATTGCATGTGGACAATAAATCTTTTTTTTCTTTTAATGGAAGATTCTTAATAAATTCTTAACTTTAAGAAAATCAATATTCTAATTGCCAACGTTTTCTACAAACTAAAGTTCATACTGCTTTTATCTAAATTACTTTTAATTTGCGACACATAATATACATAAATAAATGTGTATCCCTTTGACGTTCACGTCAATTATTATTCTCTTATCACTTTCTTGTTGCCTATAATTGGTAGATATGTTTGGTAGGATGAAGTGACTCTCGATGGCTAAACTCGTTGCAGAGCGAAAGAGCGAGCAAGATTATCTCGATAAATGCAACTGAATCTAGATGCTTTTCCCATTCTGCTATCGATGCTGGAGCACTCAAAGTTGGGACAATGGAGTCAACCATGTAGTCTCATCAACCCAATCTTTGAAAAGTAAAACTGTCACTTTTAAGAAGAATTTGACCCATATGAAGAGCGCGTTCAAGATAAAAATTTCATTTTCACTATTTAAACTTTTAGACTAGGTGGTCCAACACAAGAATTGATCACCCCATATAACTAAGAACATCTTGTCTTCTTGTTCCTTTGATTCTTCTCAAGAAAAGCTGGCCAATTTCCGTCCTCGTACATGAACCAGAAACAAGAACTAATCTATATGTATATTTTAGATTGGCTAGAGAAATTTAATTTGCTTTTTGGATTGACTAATATTCCAACAAGAAATGCATGATCCTTTCCACATTTTAATTATAGTCAATTCAAACGTAAGAGAGAGTCGGGCAATTCTCCTATTTTATATTTATTTTTTATATGATATCGAATAAAATCCAAAACGTATATTTTCAATAAATTTAATACATATTTTAGATGAACCGGTTAAAAATGATTACTTTTATTTCGAAATTTGAAGGCTAAGTACTCAAATACGAAAAAAGAAAAAGAAATAGAGGTACTAGACTATAAATAAGTTCGAGATCCAATATTTTTTTCTATAAGTAAAGAAAACAATTCGCCCTTCTTATATTTTTAACATTACATTTTCATTCAAGAAATTGTTCATTTATCATTTCTTAGTAGCGATGAGTCAAAGTCAATGTTCAGTATGCAGAAAGAGACGTACAATAAAATTCGTCTAGTCTCCTATTAATCTCGTGCAATTTCCATTCACAAATTAGTTTATTTTCCATTTCTTAATGAATAATATGTAGAAGATGTAATTTCCAATTTGTGCTTGTTTGGGTTTCATTATAAGTTGTTAAAACTATATTCTCATAAAAATGAGTGGTAGATATACGAGAAGTAGTTTGTGGGTCTTATGAAATATGTGTTTAAAATTGAGTTTGATGATTAACTTCATGATTAGTTTTTTCTTAAATTCCATCAAGTGAAAAACATAGCTTTTTCTTAAATTGAGGTCCTTATTTTACTTGTCATTCTTTCCCCTCCAATTGTTTTATCTTTGTCAAATCAATACAAGGGTTCCTTAACCTTGGTTTAGTAAAGGCTACACGAAAGCATGTTCTCCTGTTTGGTACAGATGAAAATTCAAATTTTAATTCAAAAATCGTGTCGAACAGACCCTAATTAAACTACTATTAAGAGCATATTATTGGTATTATCTTCATTACCGACTGAAAGAGGTTCATTTACTATGCATAGCAACTTTACCTAACAATTTAATTTGCAAAGTGTAGATTATTGTGACTTTTTGTCTAAGGAATCGTGTTAATTTTGTTTAAAAATTCTCTTTTAGAAGTGTATTAGACGTGTAAATAACTTCCAAAATCAAGAAAGTTTGGTATAAATCACCACTCCAATTTTTCTTTGCAATTGTCAATGAATTCAAACGACATCTTTGCTTATGTAGAGAAAATATCTATTATACAAAGTAGTTACGTGAAGCGACATTAGATGAGTCTTTTAGACGAGGTTGATCAAAATAATTGACGAATGTAATCACATATTTCTTTTAAAAAATAAATAAATCATATTTAATTATAAGATATTGATTTTGGATGTGTTTAGTTTAGCGTACAAACCATTGATTCTTTACGTGTAGAAAAAAGATTTTGGATGTGTAATTTGAACGACTAACATTATCTTTAAAAATAAAATGAGCAATTGGTTTTCTAACGAGCTTTTTGCGACCTTCAGATTGAGAACGGAGAGGTACTCCAAGAATATACCAAGCCTCTACTACCATTCGATCTTCTCCTCTTCCACTTGAGAGATTTCTTGTAAATTTTAGGAAGTCTTTTTTTTTTTTAATCGACTTCTAATTTCCTCAAGATTTTGGATCTAAAAATTATCTATCCTCAAGATGACTAAATGTTTCAAATTCGAATAGGCATTTATTCGAGCTATGTTTAATTATATAACTTATTAAAGTCATAAAGATTTTAAAAATGAACGAGTGATTGCTTGAACGGTTTAGTATAAAACACACAAATTTCAATGCAAAACCATCAAACATTAGCGGCTGATGTAAAGCATCACTTGCAAACAAAACTTTAAAATAGATTATTAAAGTAGCAAATATAAGTTTTCGAATTAATAGTCACAAAACAAAATTGTAAATAGAAGAATAAACAATTTAGAAATCTAGTAATTACTAAATTAGGGCTGGACAAGGTCCGGTTCGAACCAAAATTTTCGAGTATTTAATAAATGGAACTGTCGGGTTCAAATATAATTATGGAACCGTTCGGGTTCGATTTAGTAGGTTAGGTTCGGTACCATAATTAAATTTTTTAACAGATTTCTAATTGTTAGAATTTGAGCATGTAGATGTAGGTTTTCAATTTATCAAATGATTTGAGATCGGTGACTCAGTGGTTACCGAATGAAAGTATGAAATTGGAAAAAAGAATGATAGAAACTTAAAAAGTCCTAGATCTTGGGCTAAGAATGAAATTAATAATAAGATCAAAAAATTAAATTTAAAAAATTGAATTTAGAAGTTTGGTTGAATTGGGCTAGCTAAGCATGGATTTGACTTGGGAGTTAAAACATTAATTACTAAATTAGTTAATTTACTAATTTGTTTATAAAAAATTACAAAAAAAATTAATTAATTCAATATAAAAAATTAAAAAAATTATTTAAATACGGTTACTATTCGATTTTTCGGTTTTGGGTCTAGAATCGAGAACCGAACCGAACCGTCGATTCTCGATTCAGATATCCGTTCCGATATTTAATTTATAAAGAAACGCTGGGTTCGGTTCGGTTCGGTTCGAGAGTTTTATCTAGTTCTTCTATTAATAGAATCTTTGAGGGAATCATCATGCTATCATTACTACCTATTTCTTCTCATTCATTGTCATCTACAGTTGTGTTTTCTTCTTGATAACGCACAAAAGGATAATAAAAGGATGGGAAAAACTCACTTTCCCTACTTTATCTTTACCCTATTTCAAAAATAACAAAACAACTTTTACATTTCAAAAATCAGATTTTTTGACCTATATATACACATATTTAAAAATATTTATTTTTT